AAAATTAATGCCCCAAGGAGTAATGGACAGTTCTGGTAAGTTGGAAAACTGGTTCACAAATGCTTGAAAATTCATACTTGATTTTTTTCTATAAACAATATAGATAAGATATAGGAAAATGTCCTCTGTGTTTTGGTTGCTTCCCATCATTGTTCAGAGTCATCTGAGGGAAGTGGAAATACAAACTCACCAATGAAACTCAAAGCCCAGTAAAGGAAAACTGATTTATTCTGGACACTCAGTTGCTAACAGGATGTAGACGGTTAGAGCCACTAAGAAAATGGTGAGGAAACATTCCTTTCGTTGTGCGTGTTATGGAGTCAAATGAACTTCCACGGCCATGGACAAAAGGAGACCATCTAAACTTTAAATCACAGTGCCATTTGCATGCCCCTTGGCCCTGCAATTCTTTTTGTGCACTAAAGCACGAGAGTTAAATGAAATAGTTCATGTGAAATGCCTAGCAAAAGATAGCTGCTGTGCTTTCCCTCCTGATGTCTTTTTGTAGCCAGAAGTCCCAATGTTAACTTCAATAAGAGAAGCTGAATATTAGTCTTTAGTCAAAAGAAATTCACAGTACTAGTGACACCTGGTGGAAAACATAAGTATTACAATGTAGCATTCTTTCAGCTATCCTGAATTTTCACATTTAATAAAATTAAGATAAATCTTATAATGAAATGAAACAGAAGGTAAAGAAAAAATTAAATGTGTGAGTACCTGCTTTATTATGCTAGTAATTTTTCAGTTCATAATTATAAAACATATAGGAGGTTAGGAACCTAAGAAACTTGAATGCATACTAGTAATAAAAATGTATTAAGCATCCATGTTTATACAGTGATCGAAAATAGAAGCATGTAGCGTTTTCGATGTTCTCAATCTATTCATAGGTATCATGTGCCAAAGGGGCTCCCTTCCCGTTTTCAGATAAAAATCCATTGTAGGGTGTCCTGAGGAGTACCTCAAAGAAATAGCCAGTTATGTTTCACTACAGGATTGAGGTGAAATAGAGGGCCATCCTATTTGAGGTACTGTGGATGGATTCAACAAATAATGATGTTTTAAATGTAAGCCTTAAGTGTCAGAGAATCAGTTGCTTTGAGCCAGCGACAGGTTTGAATATTTGTGAACAAAAGAGCAAATGTCCCTATTACAGGGTCAGCAAACTATAACCCATGGACCAAATACAGCACATCAGCTTTTTGTTACTGTAACACAGCCACGCTCATTCGTTTACTTACTGTCTCAGGAGCTTTCGTAACGACTGGCTCACTTGAGTAGGTGCAAGAGACCATACTGGCTGCAGAGCCTAAACTGACCCTTTACAGAAAAAGTTTGCCAATCCCTGGTCTATTAGATCCTTTCATTCGATTTTCACACCTCTCCCCACCGTCTGCTCGGGAGGAGTGTATTTCCCTTTCCCACTGAAGTTTGGCTTAACCGTAAGACTTGCCTTGGTCAGTGGAATGTGGAAAAGCATCAGTGTGCAAGTTTGAAGCGAAGCCTGAGTTCTGTGCCCCTTCAGTGGCAAAGTGAGACAGGTGACCCGTAGACTTACGTGAGAATGAGGCAATCTGCTGACCGGCAGACTTGAAGGAGAAACAAATGTTTGTTGTCACTGTTGTGCTTGTTTGCGTGTTAGTTGCTTAGTCATGTCTGACTCTTTGCAACCCCACAGACTGCAGCCCACCAGGCCCCTCTGTCCATGGGATTCTCCAGGCAAGAACCCTGGAGTGGGCTGCCATTTCAGCCAATACATGAGATTGTTATACCTCTGCGTAAAAGTACCAGAGGACTGACCTGTCTGTCCCACTGACGACACTGGGAGAAGGGCCCTAGACTAGGTGGGGTTCAGGCCCTTCTGGGGCTGTTTCGGACTTGGAGGGGCTCACCTGGAGCATGTTTCATTCCTTTACCTGTAGTGAGCAAAACTGGGTCGGAGTGCAGGCCGCGTCTAGAGGCTTACCAGACTCTCTCGGAATCACCTTATGTTTAACGTGGTGTGGCAGTCAAAATTCTTTCCTCTGTTAGGTTAAATATTTCCCTCCCAAGGTGAGCCTCAAGTTATAGTAAGAGGGTGGGACAAGTTCAATGGGAATCGGGAATCGAGGCCAAAGTTTTCCAGTCAAGCTTTATCAATAAAGCTCACAGCTTGGCTTCTTCCTACTCAACTCTAGTATGTGTATTTCTGAATTGATATATAATCTGTAAGTGGTAAGAAATGATCATGACTAGCTCCTCAGAAAACTCACAATAGTAATATGCAATCTAATTTAACCATCTTAACAACGCTGGCTGCGTCAAAGTGATCAAAGTATTTAGAAATGCAATTTCCCAGAATTCTTAGTCTTACATCTCAGCTTATTAAAATGCTAAGGCTCTTCATTGTCATTTTTTTTTTTTAACTATCCATATTACTTTTTTTGAGACAATCAGTTTGAATCCTTTGGAGATATCACTGGATAACACCAGTGGCCCATTTACTAGAGTTCACAGATTTGTGACTTGAGAGTCCTTGAGGCGGCCCTAGTTCTCTAGTTTTCAGCCTTCCCTTTGATTCTTTATGTAGTTAATGTTCTTTCATTAATTTTTTTCAAAGCCAGTTTTTGCTGTTTTTTTTTTTTTTGAAGAGCCTAGCTAATGCAGAATTGGTACTATAGAGTAACTTCTAGGCAATAGACTGTATGGCAGAAGCTTCTATTAAGACTAACATTCAAATCCAGAGCATGAATTTCTGGACATAACTCTTGAAGAGAGTATGAATAATAAATCAGTATTAAGATCACCAATATTAAATACATAAATGACAGACATTTAAGTGTTACTGGTTATCCATAATGTTGCTACTGGTGTGCTTTTAGGAGGAAAGAACCACATTTATTTTTCCTGTTAGCAAAGGGGCAGAGTTTCCAGAAGTCATTGCTTTCTATGATGATTTTCAAACATATTTCCTAAAAACAGGACCATAATTTTCAACTCTCTTCATATATTTGCTCAAGTTCTACTTTTGCTTTCCTTCTCAATGAATATGTCAAATGTCAACAGCCCAAGAATTCCAATGTCTTAATAGTGACCACTATAATACACCTCATGCTGTTTGGAAACAGATTCCGTTGTTCAGTTGCTAAGTTGTCTGCCTCCTTGCCGAACCCCAGGGTCCGGTCCTCCACTGTGTCCTGGAGTTTGCTCCTATTCACGTCCATTGATTCAGTGACACTAGCTAACCATCTCCTCTGCTGCCCTCTTCTCTTTTTGCCTTTGTATTTCCCAGCATCAGGGTCTTTTCCAGTGAGTCAGCTCTTTGCATCAGGTGGCCAAAGTACTGGAGCTTCAGCTCAAGCATCAATCCTTCCAATAAGTATTCAGGGTTGATTTCGTTTAGGATTGACTGGCTTGACCTGCTTCCAGTCCAAGGGACTCTCAAGTCTTCTCCAGCATCACAGTTCAAAAACATCAATTCTTCAGTGCTGAGCCTTCTTTATGGTCCAGCTCTCACATCTGTATATGACCACTGAAAAAACCATAGCTTTGACTAGACAGACCTTTGTTGACAAAGTAATGTCTCTGCTTTTTAATATGCTGAGTTTGTCATATCTTTTCTTCCAAGGAGCAAGTGTCATTTAATTTCATGGTTGCAGTCACCATCCACAGCAATTTTGGAGCCCAATAAAATCTGTCACCGCTTCCACCTTTTCCCTATTTGCCAAGAAGTGATGGGACCAAATGCCCTGATCTTAGTTTTTTGAATATTGAGTTTTGACCATCCCAAAATCAACACAATTTCCACTTCTACGTAACTGCTTTTCTTATTCAGGAAAAAAAAGAGATGGGTGGACCTAAGTTAGATACTTTAGCTCCTCTCTGGGAATGGCTTTTGCAGCAGCATACATAATACCCATCATCAAAGACTGGCACCTGTTTGTCCAGCAGCACTAAGAGATGAAAGAATGTCAGACATAGGCTTTATTCTCAACAAGCACCCAGCTGGATCAGAGAAAGATCATCCCAAGTGAAATGACACAGACAAACACATAATGAAGTGACCCTGCTCAGCTACCTTATGGTCCTCTGTCATACTTTCCTCTCCTAAGATCTCGGGCTTTGGAAGGGCCAGGACTGCTTCACTCCTAGTACTTGGCACGCAGTGTTCTTACTCTGCACGTTAGCAGATGCTCATTATGTGATTTTCAAATGAATGAATACAGATTATGTATATTTACTTAATAGTGAAGGTTGAATGAATGAATACATATGAAGATCTTAGAACAGTGTCTGCTACTACATACTTAAAAAACTGAATTATTACAAAATGGGCTAAGATTTAGTATAGACATTAGAAAGGAATTTTTATGAGTTTGCCTTAAACTGACCCTGGAAAAATAGGTGGGAACTGAAAGAATATACCTGATGAGAGTATTAATGAAGGCACAGGCAGAAGAATAAACATGATGTTTAAGTATACAGCTGACCTTTGAACAAGAGTTTGAATTGTTCAGGTCCACTTATATTTGGCTATTTTTGAAGAGTAAGTACTATAGTACTACATGATCCATGGTTGGTTGAATCCATAGGTTTGGGATAACCACAGACATGGAGTGCTGGTTCTAAGTTTTACTGGGATTTTCAATTGCTTAGAGGGTCAGTGTTCCAACCCCCACGTTGTGCAAGGGTCAACTGTATACGGAAAATTAGACTACTGATGATAAACCTAAGAGCACAGAAAGGTTATATACAATCTACCATTTGCTAAACTGAATTAATTCCAAATGACACTTATCATTTAACATAAAGAACAATGTTTATTTTAAATCTACTGTTACAGGGTGAAGGAGGTTTAATTAAAGCTTGTCCAATAAATTGAAAGTACCTCAAGACTTACCCAACTTTGTATCCTTAGGCCCTCCCTACAACATAGTAGGCACAAGAAATAATATGCCATACTGAATCCATAACTACTTAACTGTATAAACACACCAATATAAAAAATTTAATACAAATTTAAAGCATACACATTTAACTTTATTTCATCATTGTCATTTAGAGCTTGATTTTATAAAACATGAAAAGACATTCTTAAGAGTTCTGTATCACAACAATTTGAAGAGTGGGGATATCCACAGCTTTATAGACTCAAGTTACATAAATTAAACTCAAATAATTGGACATTTTTTCAATATGGAAACTATAAAAATGAAATAAATGGCAAAAGGACCCAATAAAGAGCAATATTTCACTACTTATGGATTATTATTAGTTACTTTCAGGATCTAAATGAAGATTCTAAATATTCATATTTCTTTTGTTCTATTTTATATTTAAATATTTCTCTACATTCTGAGTCAAGCTACTTGACCAAAAGCCTGACTTAGAAAGGCATTTAGCAAAAGTTTTTCCACCTACAGTTACTACCTTGAAAGAAAGTAACACTGCAGTACTGATGTAATCTGTGCAGTAACTTATGCCAACCCTATGGAAAGTCAGATAGATACCAAACTGGAACAATTTTGCACAGATTCAGTAAAGCATCATGTTAAGTTTTCCTCATTTAAAAATTAACAAATGAAATAAAACACACCAACTATAGTTGATCTGGAAGGAAAACCACATTTGAGAGTTACAAGTACATTATTGTCCATATCTCATCCTCAGTCATTGACAGGAATTTTGTAGGCTACCATGCTATTTACTTTGTGAATTGTAGTAGTAAATGAACGAAGACGAACTTCCTCAGAATTGGTAATGAACTGTGGTCCCGACTTCCCATTTTTCAGGTACAACCAGATCTTTGTCTGTATAAATGAGGAGATCAAATGAACCTAAATTGGAGATAAAATCATTAAAGTACATTATTTTTTTCAAAAGTAGAAGAACCTTCCTTGTCTCTCTCACATTTTGAACCACCCACAGTATTAGAAAAGAGAGTTTAGCTTGGTCTGTAATGACTAGTCAATTGCTTTTCCTCAATAGAAATTTACTGTAGTACAGAAAATATTGCACTCCTTTTGCTTTATCTTATGAAAACTTCAAGTTTGCTTTTTTTAAAAGAGAAAACCATTATTTGCAGGAAGTATATAGTTAATCACATAGGATAGCATAAAGGTAACCTGAAGGAAAGCTAACATCTGGGTTCTGTGACTGATATAGCCTGGGGCCTAGAACAGTGTCTCGCATATAGAAGGCATTCAGAAAATATCTGATAAGGTAGAAAAGCAAGAAAGTTATGGCTAGCCTTCAAAATACACATAAAAAATTAAGATAATGAAAGGGATTACATTAAGACATTTAAGAATGAATACTGTGGAATACTTTCATTCCTTTCCTTTTCAGAATTTCCAAATTTCTAGAATGCATATAACACTACTTCTGCTTTATAAAACATTTTTAATTTTTATTATGTAATATTAATAATTAAGAAAAATTTTAATAAAGGGCTAATTCTTAAACTAATAGCTTAGTCTTTTCCCTGACAAATTTTAAGTCAATGTGAAGCTGTATAATACTTACAAGAAACTTCCAACAGTGGCAGAAATGTCACTGTAGCTGTGATCTGTCTGATCACTGAACGGATTTCATCTTGGATGGCCTTCTGAGACTTTTCTCTGGGTGCACTATTGGAGAAACCAAATCAATTTACGTGTTAACAAATTATTTAAAACACTGGTAAGACTGATTAAATGTTTCCAAGATCAAATAAGTAATACATTAAAATTTTTGTTTTTTTTTTTTTAAGTTTTAAGTGTATCATCAGGGCCTATATACCACAAGAGGCATATGCATTTTTATTATTTCATTTATCATTTCAGTCATTTTTTAGGGGTGGTCTTAAAATCAGGTCATTTGGTATCAGATAATCAGAAAACTGGCCAAGTGCTTCAAGTTAGGCAAACTACAGCACCTTTTAAAAAATGAAAATAATAGTATCTAATAATAATAGTATCTAAAATATTTTGTTGGTGCAATCACTTTGGCATTTTTTGTAATCACTCAGTCGTGTTCAACTCTTTGTGACCTGATGGACTGTAGCCTAAGAGGCTCCTCTGTCCATGGGATTTTCCAGGCAAGAGTACTGGAGTGGGTTGCCATTTCCTTCTCCAGGGGATCTTCCTGACCCAGGGATCGAACCCAGGTCTCCTGCATTGCAGGCAGACGCTTTACCCTTAAGCCATCAGGGAAGCCCCTTAAAAAATGAAAATAATAGTATCTAATAATAATAGTATCTAAAATATTTTGTTGGTGCAATCACTTTGGCATTTTTTCATAATGCTTAATTCCCTACTGCTTCAAATAAAATATTAAATTAACTATCAAATTATTTTTATAAGCTAAAAATTTCCTAAAATAGACCAAAGGCTTCAGAAGCAAACTACATTTCATTACGAGAAATGATTCTGAATTTACCAGTAAGCAAGCCTAGGACAATGCTAGACATGATCATATGGGCATCTCCTATACAGGTGGTCTGGAAACTTTTTTATGAAGTGTCTTAGAAGATTTGGGGCATTCAATGAAATACAATAGAGCTGAATCTTAGGCTGGGGGAATCTAGGATAATCTCTTATGGCTAAAACTACCTTTAAACAATTCACTAAAGGGCCACCAGGTACATACTACCATAAACACTGAAGGTGAAATTCACCCATTTACACTATAGGCAAGTATGTTAAAAGTACATTATCTAGATAAGACAGTGAACTATTCTTTGCCACAGGAGACTAAGGATCACATTAACATCCTAGAAAAAGACTGTACTTTATATGCAACTTGTTCAATATAATTAGAACTCATTTAGTAAAGAAAATAAACTTTAAAACATACGAAAATGGAAGTAACTGCTACCTACCTGTCATCTTTTGCAGTCTTGTCACACTCAATATCAAACTGCCATCTTTCAAGGACCTCTCCACTTTCAATATTTGAGATGACTACCACCAGTTTCTGAACTGAACACTTGTATAACCATTCTGCAATACACAAAACAAGGCATCTTTTTTAGTTTACTGCATTACAAAGCAACTCTCCTCTCAAGACCGACTTCCTATCCTCAGCAAATTTCTCCCACCACTATTTTGGTTCTCCTCCAAACTGTGCAGAAAACTTTCCCCATCAATAGCCTAGCTCCCGATTTCAAATTCTCACTATTTGTGCCAGGCATAGCACTGGGTGCTAAGAACAATGAACATAAGGTACTTCCATCCTAATCCAAGGGAAGGGTGTAGGAGATGTCACTAATCTAATCACAACAATAAGTGTGAAATTATAATTGTTGTAACTGCCATGATGGTGCAGCTTCCTATGATATAATAGCAGTTACCCATCATGGGGCAACACAGAGCACAATTAAAGCACAGAATAGGGAATTCTGACTCAGGGGTTTGAGTTTTGTTCTAAGAGACAACAGTATACATATGCAAAACATGGAAGAGGGTATAGGCTTTAAAATATGAAGTAATTTATTTTTGGCTGTGTCAGGTCTTAGCTGTGGCATGTGGGATCTTCCTTGCTAAAGGTATAGGTCTTAAAGACTCAGAACAGAGCACTGGATCAGAGGACTGAAAGGAGGCCAATACAACTACAGTTTAAGAAAGGGAGAATGAACAAGGCTAGTCTGACAAGATAAATGGGCCAGACCACACGGAGTCATGGGAGCCGAATTAAAGACGTAATACTGTAAGAACTAAGAAGGTCATTACTGTGTTTGAAGCAGAGTATGATGTAATTAAAGTTGTATTTGAAAACTATCCTTCTGGATACTCTGTAGAAAGTAAGCTGGAAGTAAACAGGGGATCTAGGGCACTAATGAATGAATATTCAAGCAAGAGCTAATAAAGACTTAGAGAAAGATATACTGGTAGAGATGGAGCAGTAGACAGATTCAAGAGATTTCATGGTTAAAATTGTTAAGATTTATTGGATTACCTTAGGGTAAGGAAGAGGAATGAATCAGGGATAGCTCCCAGGTTTCTGATTTATATCAGTAGTCAGATGGTTGATCCAGTCACTAAGAGGAAAGAGAACTGAAATGGAGATGATCCTAAATTCAGTTTTTAATATACTGAGTGTGAAGTGGTATATTATATAGCTGCATAAAGACATTAAGGGAGTCACTCAATATATGAGCTGAGAGTTAGGAGAGGCTTTGGTTAGATATTGGTTCAAGAGTCAGATACAAAAGTTGTTACTAAAATTATCTACATGTAACAGGGCCTCAAATTGAGCCCTCAAGTAATCTTAGAAATTGAGAATACTTTATTCAGGAATCGGCAGGTTTTTTTTTTTTTTTTTAAAGATAGAAAATATTTTAGAAATATTGAGGGCTTATGGGTCACCTACGTAGCATAGTCTTCTTTAAAATGTGTAATATTCTTAGCTTGCAAGCAGTACAAAAATAAGCTACTTGCTGGACTTGGCCTATTGGCCTCGCTCACCCCTGGCATATATGAACAACTTTTACCAGTTTACCTGTGAAAAAGAGATTTAGTGGTAATTTGAAGATATGGGGAAGTTGGTGATTTTTTTTTTCCTCCCTTAAAAATGGAAATGAAACCAATGGGAATAATCCAAACAAAAACAAAAGAAATTGACAACATAAGAGAGAGGAAATAGGGTCAAATTCCTAAGGCTAGAGAAGTGGAATTTAAAAGACTGAATAATTTTCCTGTAAAGCATTTCCTCCATTTTAACTCAAAGGGAGAAGTTAAGTAGGAAAGTGTAGATACATCTGACAAGAAAGAAATGTTATTGGTCTCAAAGGACACGAACCAAAAACCAGTAACTTAGGCAAGGCTGGCTTGCTACTTCTTCAGATTAAGATGAAGACATACATCCATAGATGCCGAGAGGTTTCATACCAAACAATCTGAGTGCAGCTGTATGAACGACTATGGGTGGTTTAGCTCTGAAGTTAATGAAAACGCAATGATGTAATCTGAAAATGAAGCTAGTTGAAACAACAAAAATGATTCATGAATTTTAAAGTTCAAAAAAAAAATGCAGGCTGTAGTATTTTTAGAACTAGTATTTTGGAAGATCTAATGGGCAGAAAGGGAGAAACATTTTACAACACAGAGAAATTAGAAACGAGAATCCTAAGTGGAGAGAAATATGAAAGAGAAACTACTAGAAATTCTAGAAATAAAAGGAATATATGGAGCATACTGATCCCACAATACTGCAACTTCTTGAGCTAAAAGAAGAAAATGATTGTGCAGACAGAAAAGGCTTACTGACTCAGAGGCACGATTTAAAAAAAAAAGACAAATGGAAACAGGTGAAAAATAAGAAAATTCTAATGAGTGCTGTTATTTAGTAGTTCCTTCTTTTTAAAGTTTAGTTCCCTAAGTTGAATCTGATTTTAGTTCTTTCACCTTAATATAATGATGGCTTTAGATTCCAAGCAGCTACAAAAAATATATGCAGTGGATTTCTCAGATAAGGAATGCCATCATAATTACATAAAATTCCAATGTGTTCTATCATCCCTGAAGGAGTTGATGGAGATTGTTTTGTTAAGCCACATCAGATTCTGAACCTTAAAATAGTCAGCCTATTCAAAAGTGGAGGAAGGGTGGGAATTCTTTCAATTTGTATGTTATTTGCTTCCCTCCCAACTGATTCACTGTATCAGAGATGGTAGTGTGTTTTACACTACCCTGTACAGAGCTGAAAAATGACCACCAAGAAGCTAAAAAACGTGGATCCTGCCGTGTGTTCCTATCCAACTCTTTACAACCCAATGGACTGTAACCCGACAGGCCCCTCTCTCCATGGGGTTATCCTGGGAAGAATACTGGAGAGGGTTGGCATTTCCTCCTCCAGGGGATCTTCCAGACCCAGGATGGAACCTGAGTCTTCTGTGTCTGCTACATTGGCGGGTGGATTCTTTACCAGAGTCACCTGGGAAGACCCGAGGATCCTGTTAACATAGAGGCCCGCAAAACTCAAAACTGTGTCCAACAATAAAATACCTTTTAGTTGATCCACCACATTATTTAGGTATTTTATGAGCTCAGGATCAGTAGTTACAAGCAAGGTGAGTCCATATTTCTGCACCCGAGTAAAGGTTTCCGATGGATATATGCCACGCTGATATAAAATACTGTTGATGCCAAACGCTGAAAACATAAGAAATATTAAAGTCATCGTCACGTTGTAACTTCTGGGGAAATAAAGCATATGTAGATGGGGCTATGGTTTCATGATAGTGTAAAGTTATAAATGTCTAAACACGTGTTTGTGTTTTGCTGAAAGCCGAGTAGGTACAAAGTGGCATTTTAAAAAAATCCTTAAAATCTTGCGTCTAAGTGACAGCTGCATTTATGTGGCAATAGAAGAAAAATGCCAAACCACTAATCTACCAGTGCCAAATTTCATTTCATTGTAAAACAAGTCCAAATGCCTATTTTATGGTTAGAGGGTGTCAAAATAGGCAACTGACAGACGGGTACCAAGCCCAGACAGGCCTCTCCCCACGTCTCTTTCCTCCTTTTCTCCTCACCGGTCCTGCCAGGTTCTGTCAGCAGGTACACCTGGCCGAGCTCACAACAGCTCTTCCCGAAGTCTAGCCCGTCTCGGTCCACCCCCGAGGCCTCACCGTTGCGGGGGCGGGGGGTGTGGGAGGAGCTCTGCACTCGAAAGAAACGCTCCCGCGAAGGGGCCCACCGCAAGACGGGCCTCCGCGGCACCCGGGCCTCCTCCTCCGCCCGAAGCAACGCTAGCGGAGGCGGTGCCCGCCGTCCCACTTCCTGATCCCTCCTGCCGGCACCCGAGGCCGCGGCTACAAGGGCCGGGATTCAGGGCCGCTCCGGCCGAGCCGCGGGCCTGCGGGCGGCCTGCGCTCGGCTCTCCCCGCCCTCCGCCCCGCGCGAGGAGGACTTACAGAAAAACTCGGCCACGATCTCGGCGCTCCCGCGCAAGGTGATGCCTTGCTCCCGGGAGAGTTGCAGCGCCATTGCCAGGCCCACGGATGACGGTACGTGATTCCACCCAGCAGACAGCGGCGCCAGGGGCTTCCGGAGCAGTTCCCCGCCACTGGTTTAAAAAGGAACGACGCAGGACGCCGTCGCGCCCTTTGCGCAGGCGCGGAGCGCCTCTAGACCCCGCCCATCGCGCCCTTTGCGCAGGCGCAAAGAGCCTCTGGACCCCGCCCTGCGCAGCCGGGCCCGCCAGGTTCTCTGTCCCTTGGTTCGCGCAGGCGCAGTGGGGAAGCGTGGCGGCGCCGTTGCGGGTGGTTACACCTGGCCGGGTTCCCGCTGTAGTTGTGGGCTGGCTGGCGAGCTGGCGACTAGAGGGGAAGACGGTAGGTCCAGGTTTTAGTGGCCGCTCTCTAGGTCTGCGGACAGAGCGACCTAGGAGCACAATTCCCGAGTTTGAAAGATCTTTTGAAAGGGTTACGAAGTGTCCGCCACGCTGAGTGGCCCCAGTGATGCTTAGTCAGCGGTCGGAACTTGCTGGGTTCTCTGGGAGTTTGCTTCCCTCGTGGCTGAGACGGTGAGGACTCTGCCTGCAGTGCCAGAGACCTGCGGTGCACGATCTCTAGGTTGGGAGGATTCCCTGGAGAAGGGAGTGGCAACAACGCCCGTCAGTATTCTTCCCCGGGGAATTTCTTGGTAGGAGGAGCCAGGGAGGCTGCAGCCTCTGCGGTCGCGAAGAGTCGGACGCTACCGAGCGCCTAACACTTTCACTTTCTTTCAAAGCAGCTGCGTGCCGCAGACAGGGTTTTAGCGGTATTACTGTGCCGGCGTAGTGTTTTTCCTGAGAAACTGGGCTAGGGATTAAAGGGACGAACGGCATCCCCTTTTCTGCCCTTCGTCCTGGCTCAGCTCGCGTCTACCCCCGACCCCGCTGCTCGGCGGAGTCTGGGGACAGCAGAGTGTGCGTCTGATAGTCCAGCTTCTACTGTGCACCCCGCCACCCCTAGGCAACTGGTCAGGAATAAAGTCATCTCACCAAAAGGCTCGTCAACACTGAAGAGCTTCTCAGTGAATTTTGACTGAAATCCAGTGGCTTTTAATCTTTCTATGAGAAGTATTAAGCAGATGTTGTTTAGTCGCTAAGTGACGTATGCCTCTATTGCGACTCCATGGACTGTAGCCCGCCAGGCTCCTCTGTCCATGGGATTCTCCAGGCAAGAATACTGGAGTGGGTTGCCACTTCCTCCTCCAGGGGGTCTTCCCCACCCTTGAATCAAACCGGCATTGGCAGGCGGATTCTTTACCACTGAGCCGCCAGGGAAACCCAATTAAGCAGATAGTGCACTACTAATGTCACGTCACTTGTGAAGCAATTGTATTTTTACAGCAGGTGGAGAAATTATTTGTAAAATGAAGTCTGAGAAACCTGCCCGGATGTAGTTATTTAATCATATGAGAAAGTGCCTGAGTGTATTAGTTTTCTATTGATGTGTAACAAATTATGACACATTAGTGGTTTTTAAAAAAAAAAAACCCATTTATGAGCTCAGTCTTTAGATCAAGAGTCTGGGCATGGCATGGCTGGGTGCTCTATGTATTCTTGTAAGTTTGAAGTAAAGGCACTTGGCTGCAAGAGGGGTCTCATCTAAACTCTGGGTTTGAGGTCCTTGGTTCCTGGCATATAATAATGTCTTTGTTCTTAAATTGAGGTCCCCATTGGCTTGCTAGCTGTTGGCCAGAGGCCAGTCTTGAGCCCTTGTCATACTTCCACTGTCTCTCTTTCCAAGGAGGTCCTTTTTAAACAACTCATGTGATTAAGTCAGACCCCGGCAGATGATTTCCTCTTTGTTAAACCTAATCTTCAAAATGATTTTGCCTCATAACTACATGTCTGACTACACTCAAGGGGAGGGATTATATAGGATATGTTCCTTGGAGATCACAAATTTGGGGGGGCATTTTAGAACTCTTGTCTATTTACAGTGTTATATATCAGAATACTACTTAGCAGTTCAGGAAAGATATCCTTCAATTTCATAATACTATAGTTTGTGAATTTTTTGAAGATGCAAATAATCATTAGTATCAATATAATTTGGGAATTCTAGAAGGCTGGTGAAATATATGAGGTTTCCATGTAGAGGAAGTATTTGTTAGTACTTACTTTCTTTGTGTTCTTAAGAACTTAAGTTCTTGTGACTTAAGAACTTGAAATATGCTGGTTTGAATAGAGATATGCTACAAGAATAAAGTACCAGATTTTGAAGTCTTAGTATGAAAAACAAATGTGTGTATGTGTGTATATATATATACACTCATATACAGCTCATATATATATATATATATGTACATAAATGTACATATATATATTAGGTGCTCAGTCGTGTCCAGCTCTTTGGGGCTCATGGACTGTAGCCCACCAGACTCCTCTGTTTATGGGATTTTCCAGGCAAGAATACTGGAGTGTGTTGCCATTTCTTTCTCTACGGGATCTTCCCAACCAAGGGATCCTATCTGGGTGTCCCGCATTGTAGGCTGGCTGGCTATTTACCTTCTGAGCCACCAGGGAAGCCCTGTAAAGTATATTGATAGTAAAGTATATTGATATGTCTTTAATTGATTACTTATTGCAATGATACTATATGTGCATTGAATTAAATAAAATATTAAAATAATTGTACTTTTTTTTCTTTTTTAGTTTTTTAATCTACCAGAACATTTTACAATTACATATGTAACTTGTGTTCTGTTTCTACTGGATAGTGCTGGTCTTTTTCTATGGAATCTAAGAGATAACTTGTTTTAACCAGAATCCCAAATGATTCTGGTGCAAGTTCTTAAAACACTCTTTGAAAAGCAGTAAACTGTGATGGTGATTTTAGTAATGCTGGCCCAGGAGCTTGAATTCTTGGACAAGTGGATGCCAGAGCTTAAATAAGAAGATGTACATCAGAGCAAGATGTTTTGAAAAAAGAATTGAGTTTTGATGACTGATGTGGACGAAGAATGAAATGGTAGTACAGAATCCAAGGTGGCAAGCATGCAGTATATGCTAGTGTTGGTCAAAGCTGCTTAACTCTGAGCCTGTTATGTTTCTTGTTTATCACTGTAACACGTGATTCTAGAAGCTTTGGTGGAACTCCTTTCCCATTAACTTTTGGGTGTTTGGTTTGATGTTGACCCCATCTTATCTAAAGCATGCACTCTTATCCTTACAAAAAGTTTTTTAAAACTTGTTTTCAGTTACTTGGATTGACTTATTCACAATTTGGTGACATCTTTCTAATGTGTTTTGAATGTTTTTTGGACAGGGAGAAGTATAAATTAAGATTTATTTCTGAAGAAAATTCAAGCAGACTGTATAACCAAGCAACCTAGAATTAATAAAAGAGATAAATATGAAAACATATGTCATAAATAGGGCTGTATTCCATATTAGGATGCTAAAATCAGAAATACTCATACAAATTTCTAAAGCTAGAATCAAATGGAATTTTAGAAAGTGACAATAACTTAGCTGGACAGTCTTAGACATGAAGAAAATGAGGTCCCGAGTGATTGTATAGTTTATTCAGTATCTGGTTTATTGTTGTTGTTCAGTTGCTCATAACTGAGTCGTGTCTGCAGAGTCGTGTCTGACTCTTTGCAACCCCATGGAGTTTGGGGTTTGCAGCATGCCAGGCTTCCTGTCTATTAACCCAGTATCTAGTTAGTAGAAAATTTAGTGATAGAATCTAGGGTTTCTGATTTAGTTCGTTTAAAAGTATTTCTGTTTGAGGATACTCTGGAAGATGCTTGTTTTTAAAATATTAACTGATTTTAGACTCACATGTTCAGTAACCTTAGGTTGCTGAGTTGTTGCTAAGTTGTGTCCAACTCTTGCAGCCCCATGGACTGTAGTCCTCCATGCTCCTCTGTCCCTGGGATATCCCAGGCAAGAATACTAGAGTGGGTTGCCATGTGCTTCACCAGGGGATCTTCCCCACCCAGGGGCCGAACCCACATCTCCTGCGTTGGCAGTGGGTTCTTTAGCCCTGAGCCACTGAGGAAATCCTGTGAACTTTCAGGACCTTATAGGTGTCAGTGTGTTAGTGTTAGACTCTGCAGCCCCGTCGACTGCACAGACCATGGAATTCTCCAGGCCAGATACTGGCGTGGGTTGCCTTTCCCTTCTCCAGGAGATCTTCCCAACCCAGGGACTGAACCCAGGTCTCCCGCATTGCAGGCAGATTCTTTACCAGCTGAGCCACAAGGGAAGCCCCAAAATACTGGAGTGGGTAGCCTATCCTTTCTCCACCAGATCTTCCCACATCAGGAACCATGGCAGTTACATTCCATAATCAGTTTTATGCCAGAATGCAAATAGCTGCAACTGCCACAAGATGGCACTATTTACATGTGAAATAATACCTTTAGAAAATTCAGTCCCGGTATGTGTGCTTTAGTTCAAAGTGAAATGAGGGAAAAAGAATTTAGTGATTTCTAAGGTATTTATATATGTGGAACACATCAGAATGAAATGTTGGATCATAAGATATTACAGAACTTGTATCCTTTTAAATATGTGTGTATGCACACACTCATGCCTTAAAACATATTTATTTATACTTACATTTAAGTTGCATATTTGTTTTCACATGGAGAGAGAAAACATTTTGGATAGTTGAATCACTATTCTGATAGACTGAGGACAGTTTTCCATCAAATTTCCAGATGTTATTTTATTCTTGAGTCCAGTATCTTTAAATGGAGCATTTCGTTCTGAAATGGGTGAAGCAAGAATATTTATCTTTATAATAACTTTAATACATTTATTTACTAAATTTAGGTAAAAATTCTGTGCACATAGGCATTTGTGCACATTTGTCAATATGAGGAATTTGCCTTCTTGAACAGCAAGGATGCTGTCATGAGTCTGTGTTACTATTTCTTATATAGATCTCATATGATTTGAAGAGCAAGAATTAAAATCAGAAATTTCCTACTCAGATTATGCTGTAGGTCAAATGAATGTTTACATTTATTCATAAGCTTAAAAATTAAGTTACATAATGTAAATCTCCTAAAGATCCTTTTTCCCCAAATATTTTCCTCTTAAGGACTGTTTGATTGTTGTTCCACATGTTCAAACTAATAGAACAGTTTTAAATCATGGAATTTTATTAATAAACAGTGGCTTAATTAACAA